GAGGACCTGACTAAAACCTTTGTACCATTAGTGAGTTACTTCTTTATAATTACACATGTAGCATGATTAATAATGAAGTTTGGGGTGTGTTGTAAGCTTGTAGAGTTTCTTAGCTCATTTTTCTTACTCACTGTGTCCAGAATCTTGCATAGTGCTTGTCCCATAATTGGCATTTCATTTATGTTGTTGAGTCCATGAATACTTAGCATATTTAGTCAGAACAGCCAAGTTCTGCATAACTACTTAAGTCATTGCATTATTATTTTAATATTTTTCTAAAACTATCCTATATGTAAATACAAAATTTGATTCTTTTTTTTTTTTTTTTTAAAGATTCGCCTGGGCTAACATCTGTTGCCAATCTTTTTTTCTTCTTCTTCTTCTTCTTCTCCCCAAAGCCCCCCAGTACATAGTTGTATATTCTAGCTGTGAGCGCCTCTGGTTGTGCTATGTGGGACACTGCCTCAGCATGGCCTGATGAGCAGTGCCATGTCCGTGCCCAGGATCCGAACCAGCGAAACCCTGGGCTGCCAAAGTGGAGCTCGCGAACTTAACCACTGATTCTTTTCTAAACAATTCCTTGTTAGTGGTCTGCTTGGGAATGATAATTAAAGTAATCACTTTTATTATAATTTTTATAAATTACAGTAATTGATAATTGCTTAGAATCTCATATGTAGTATTTTTATTTTTTTTGGTGAGGAAGATTGGCCCTGAGCTCACATCTGTTGCCAATCTTCTGCTTTTTGCTTGATGGAGATGGTCACTGAGCTAATGTCTATGCCAGTCTTCCTCTGTTTTGTCTGTGGGATGCCACCACAGCAAGGCTTGATGAGTGGTGTGTAGATCTGTGCTCTGGGATCTGGGCCTGTGAACCCCAGGCCACCAAAGTGGAGCGTGCAAACTTAACGACTACTCCATTGGGCTGGCCCCTTATATGTAGTATTTCAAGTAGCTTAAAATTACAGTGTTGAGAAGTTCTTTAAATTTTAGCATTTAAACTTAAATTAGGTATAGTATTGAAAATATGCTTCCTTTAAAGTTTTACTTTAATTCCTAGTAGTGTTTTTAAAGTATATAACCTAGTATGATGCAAAGCTCTTTGCCTAGGATCTCACAGCAGATACTGTGTCATGGAGGTAGGGTTTGAGTCTGGTGTTCTAATTTTAAAGTCTCTTATCTTAGTTACCTTGACATCACCATCATGGGAAACTTAAGTAAAACTGAAATAGGTGAACGTAGGAGTGGGCATTCTTTCTTTCCTTTTCTATTCTCCCCTTTTTTCGAGTATTTTTGTAAGGCCTGGCTCTCTTTTAAATGTCTGTCCTCCATTCTTTACATTAAAAGCCAATTAGCCAATTACTCAGTCATCAAGTATTTACTAAGTACCCTTACGTGGTGTCACTGTCGTAGGTGCTATGAGTAAGAGTTATGCATATAATTCCTAACTTTTAAGTAATTTATCTAGCAAGGACATCAAATTAACATATATTTTTGTATATGTTACACATATACCGTAAGACAGTATAGTGAACCTGTAAAACGGTATAGTGAACACCGACTGGAAACTTACTAGGAGTTTTGTAAAGAAGGAAATGGGAAAGGACAGTGGGCTTCAGAGAGACTCAGATTGGGTCTGTGCTTCATGGGCAGAGTAAGTCAGAGGAAACTATGCGGTTCTTTATTGGTATAATATCTTGGATATTTTAAAACTTTCGTATGTCAAACAAAAAATAAAAATTGGCATATTATATTTGGTATTTCTTTAACATTCACATTTCAAAAAGTATATTGCTGTACAAGATTTAACTGTGAAACAGTGGATTTTATGATCCACTGCTTCTGCCACTTTTTCATTATTTTGTGCACCACCAGGTTCTCACTTCCCTCCATTTTAAATTCCTTAGTTGATTGTCTAAACCGCTCCTTTGTCTTACATCCTCTGTTCTGTTCCACTTTCTTGCTTTGTCAGACTTGCTTGGTTAACTTACAGCTTTGCTCAAATCCAGTCTTTGTGTCCCCCATCTGCACCCATGCCGCTGAATGTATCTGGGGAGAAATGCACAGCATGATTCCTGATACTTTAAATTCTTGGTAATTCACTTCCAGTGGGCCCTTAGTGCTGAACAGCAGTCTTGGTCGATTTCCCTAGTCCATTTGCTCCTCCATTCTCCTACAGGGCTGTTACCTATCTTCTCTATTCTCAAGCCCCAGTGCGTCCTCTTCCAACCTTGTTCTTAAGGATGGCTTTACATCCTAATTCATTGAAAGAATAGAAGCAATGAGAAAATAATTTCTCCCAACTCCTACTTGCATCTGTGCACTCGCAGCATTAGAGCCCTTTGCCCTGTCTTCTCTCCTCTTGCACCACTAAACTGCCTGAACTCCTAACTGGCGCAGCCCTCTGCTTGTCCAGCAAATCCTCCCTTCTTGACTATGTAAGGAAGTTGCTTCAGACATTTTCTCCTCTTTCCTGTGTCATCAAAATTACCTTCTTGTTAGATTCTTACTATCAGAATTCACATATTTAGACATTATTCATTGAGTGTCTGCTATGTGTCAGGCTCCGTTCTAGGGTACTAAGAATATATTAGTGGAACTTAGATTCTGGTTGAGGAGACAGACAGTAAACAAGAAAGATCCTAAGCCAGTCATCTGATACGTTCAAAGATGATAACATACTGTCGGGAATGAAGGGTAGAGCAGGTAAGAGGGGGAGGGGAGTCCTGGGGAAGGGATGCAATTGCAGTGTTAAGTAGCAGGTCAGAGTTGATCTAAGACTTGAAAGAGTTGAGGAAGTAGCTGTGGGGTGTCTGAGGGGAAAAGATGCCAGGCAGAGGGCACAGCCAGACGAAAAGCTCTAAGGAGAGAGCTTGCAGCGTGCTGTCGGGGAGCTGCCGGGAAGCAGGTGGCTGGCGGAGTGGCCTGAAAGAGGGTCAGAAACTTAAGTAGGGTGGATGCGAGGCCCGGATCGTGTGGGGCCTTTGTAGATCATGTGATGGCCTTCGTCTTCTATTCTTAGTGAATTGGAAACGTTTCAAGATTTTTTCTTGCAGTCATTCATTTTAAGAAGATTTCTGACTGCATGTGTCCAGAGCATACTGCAGTGAAGGGTAGGAGAAAGTTGTTCTGAGGTTGTTGAAGTATTCATGTGAGGGATAGTGAGGGCTTCTTCCCAGGTGGTGGAAGAGCTGAGAAGTGATCCTGGATAAATTTTGAAAGTGGAGCCAACAGCATTTCCAGAATGAGATGTAAGAGAAGACGGACTTAAAAATGATTCCAAGGCTTTTGCCTTGAACAGTTGAAAGGGTGGAGGCGCTGTCATCTGAGGTAGAGAAAGCAGCCGCAGGGGTTTGCAGGGGGAGCAAGGGTGCGGGAGACCGGGAGCTCACAGTGGACAAGCTCAGCCGTCTCTTAGAACACAGTTCCTCTCTGCAGGTACTTACCCAGCCTTCCACGGCTCTGAGTGGGGAGATCTGGTTTCATGGCACCTGGGGAGGTTTCGGCCTTGGGCGGTGAGAGTCTGAAGTGGAATTGCATCAATGGAAAAGCCAGGTAGTACTGGTGAATACTACCAATATAAAAAAAAAATCACCGCAGATTTTCAGTCTAGATGGTAGAAAAATTGGGAAAGCCAGGTGGAAGAACAGATTTAGGAGGAAAGATAGTGGATTTGGTTTTAGGTGTGGTACCAGTAATTAACGAGGTAGAAATATCTACTGTGTAGTTAGACATGTATATCATAAAATAGAGATCCAAGATAGAAAGAAGTTTGTGTTTTGATATTGGTTAAGCTGAGAGATGATGGCCGAAACCATGAAAGCTTGTTAGGAAAGTGAAGAAGACTAAGCAGAGACCCTTGAGTGAACGATGTTTTGTAGTGTAGAGTCAATAAAGAATTAGTCCAATGTGATCAATGACCTACTTAGTCCTATAAAGACATAGAAATGGTAGTTGATAGCTGCTAATGATGGAGATGGGACAAAACAGAGAAGCAATGAGAAAATACTTTTGAATTTGTCAGCTAGTTTCTTTCAAAAGAGCAATGTCGGTAGACAACCTACCCTACTTTCTCTTGTTACCCTATACCAGGTATCATTTAAAGTCCACCTTTAATAAATAAAGTACACCTAATAATAATAACTAACATTTGTTGAAAACTTATTATGATTCACACAGTAAGTATTGCATTGGTTTATTATTAATCCCCACACCAATTTTATGAAGTAGATACTCTTATTTTTTCCGATTTAATACTTGAAGACAAGAGAGATTAATTCACTTGTCCAGGATTGCATAGTTCATGGTAGGAAAAAGAAACTGAATTCAGGCACACTGATGTTCAGTCCATACTTTTAGCCACTACACTATGCTCCTTTTCTTTGAAGTCTTCCTAGTTATTCCCTGGCACATTTTATCACTTTCTGGCTGACTGGCTCAAGGGGCTGTGATTACTGAGAGTTTTAGGCAGTGTATACTGTCAAAAGGCTGATAGGCTAGGCAGGGATAAGGTTACCTTCTTAACATAAATAATAACATAAGGTAGTCTATGCTAAGTGGAAAATGAGGGATACAGTAATAAGTATGAGAATGTGGGTGGGGGGAGGGTCAATCTAGGACCAGGTGTTATAAAAGGTTTTGTGGAAAGAGTAGGATTTGATCTGGACCCTAAAGGATAGCTTTTCTTCTGACTGTTGGTGATTGCATGTGGGTAGGGGTGAAATAAATGGAAAGCATTCCAGGTAGTCAGAAAGCTGGAGCAAAGGTATAGATATAGGAAACAGCAAGACGTATTTGGGGAAAGTTCAGTAGTCCAGTTTGGCTGATGAATAGAATTGGAAAGGAATACTGAGGTCAGGCTGTGAACAGCCTTGAGTGGAGATCCATAGAAAGCTGTGAGGTTGCAGTGTTTGGTTAGAATAGAACCCTATAGTTCTCAGCTATTTACTTCTTGATTTAAATATGAATATATTCAAAGAGACCTTTTATTTTATTTCTAGAATGCCAGTTAATGAAAACAGAACGACCAAAGCCAAACACATTTATTATCAGATGTCTCCAGTGGACCACTGTCATAGAGAGAACCTTTCACGTAGACACTCCAGAAGAAAGGTAAGAAATTCATTTCTTCCGTTGTGTGAAAAAGCAACAATTCATCTAAAGTTGTAGTGTGTATCTGACTTCCCCATTTGTAACTATATGTAAATCTATTTGTAAAATACTGTAGTCCCTTAATTACAGTCATATGTTGCTTAACGACGAGGATATGTTCTGAGAAATGTGTCATTAGGTGATTTTGTCATTTTGTGAACACCATAGAGCACACTTACACAAACCTAGATGGTATAGCCTAGTACACACCTAGGCCAGATGGTACTAATTAGTGGGACCACCACTGTATGTGTGATCTCTCGTCAAGCGGAATCTTGTTATGCAGCACGTGGCTGTATTCTCTGTCGGGTTCCAGAATACTAAATCAAAACGTCTAGAAGTGCTATAAGATATACTTTTTAACAGAAAACAGAACATATGAGTTAAAATATAAATGAAAGAAGAGAGTTTTATAACCCAATTTTTTAAAAAATGGTAGAATTGATTGTGTTCATGTTTGGAATTCTGAGGCTGGTGATGGCAGAAGGTTTCGAGTAGGATGCCATATGCGGTGGCTGCCTGGAGTCTTATGTGGAGAAGGGTTCTGAGATTGAGTCTAAGCTCAGTGAGGAAAACATCAGGATTGATTGGCACTGGCTGTCGTCATTGCTGGAGGGGAGTGGCAACATGTCAGTAACTCGCTCGCCAGCTTCATCAGCGCTGCACTTTCATCCTCCTGTTCCACCATCCAGTCCTGCCACACCTCCCACCCCTTGATTCTGTCTTAATACCTTTATCTGGTGGCTCTGATACTGAGCTAGGTACAACAACCGCAGCTACAAAATCATTTTCCTGCACGTTATGTTATGATGTTAGATCCAAATCAGCAAATTTGTGAAATTAAATGTTATTAGCCTTATTTTCCAAATGAATAATTAGGTCTTAAGAGACTTGTCTAAGATTAACAAAAACAGTCTCTCCCTAAAGGCTGGTAAATAGTGAAGTATTATTTTAATAATGCTTTTTTGGCCAAAAAATGTAAATGGTAATGTGTGATTACTTTAGGAAATGTAGAAAAGAAAGAAAAATGGAAAAGAAGTAGAAATTACTCACAGTCCTATTCTATAACCAGGGCTAAGGACTGACCATTTTTTTTATACACTTTCAGTATTAATCTGTGCAGATGTCTTTAGGCCTTTAGTATACGTACAGTTTGGGATGTCTTCCCTCCACCCCTCCACCCCACTGTCTTCCCTGGGCATTTCTATATGCTGAGTGCTCAGTGTGCTTATACCTCAGCCCATATCTGTGGTTGAGCTTCCTATGTATCTTTCGGGTCTGAGCTTAAAATGTCACATTTCCTACAAAGCCTTCTCTGACTCTTGTAGATTGGTGCCCCTGCTATATACTTACAAATCTCCTTGTACCTTTTATTTCAAGTATATCACCACTGTAATCTTTGTTTGCCTTTCTCCCTGACTAGAAGATTCTTGATTGGCAAGGATCATATCTTCCTTGCTCATTTTATCTTTGACACATAGTCCAGGGTTCAACATAGTATCTGTTGACTGGCTGACTGAATGGAGTATTTCCCATGTCAATATATGTTATTTGAAAATGTTATTCTTAGTGGATTTATAACATCCCATTGAAGCATGATTCATTTTCTCATTTATGTTTGCAAAGCTGGACTTAAGCCATATCTTAAGACTTTAAAATAGTTTGCTGTTCCTGCGGTAATATCACACTGCTTTTTTGAACAGCCATTCTCTTCTGCGTTTGTGACTAGAACAAAGCAGTTTTAGTAAAAATGAAAAACAGTGTATTTATATTTGCTATTGGAGTGTGCTTTTCTGTATTCATCTAGAATATGGTCTTTGAAGATTTTATATGACTTTAGTGTTAAAGAAGACTTAGAAAGATGTAGTAAGAGTTAGGAAAACTCTATGTTTTCTATATTCTGCCCGCCAGTCTAAAGTCCTTACTTGTTGTAAACTAAATGTATGTCTCTTATCCAGCTAAAAAAATTGTATTTATTTCATTACATGATGTAAGTTTGGAATCTAACCATTTTTTCCAAAAAAATGAGACCATTCTTTCAGCTCCATTTATCAAATAATCCACTCTTTTCTCACTGGTTATGGATGACACATATGCATAAATGTTTGTATTTTTAGGTTTTTTCTTTTTCTCCCTTTGATTTTTCTGTAATTCTAGTAGTAGGACCACGTGGTTTTTATGAAGGAAGCTTTCTAAAACTTTTAACTTCTAATAAAGCAAGACTTCAATTGTTACTATTTTTTCCCCAATGTTCTTAGCTTTTCTAAGTACATTCTTTTTTTTAAATTGTGATTTTAAAAAAAACATGAAATCTACCCTCATAAATTTTTAAGTGTGTAGGACCGTATTAACTATATGTGCATTACTGTATAGCAGATGTCTAGAACTTTTTCATCTTGTATGACTGAAACTCTGTACCCAATGAATAGCAACTCCCTGTTTTCCTCTCTCCCAGCCCCTGCCAACCACCATTCTGTCTGCTTCTGTGAGTTTCACTACTTTAGATACCTTATAGAAGTGGAAGCATATAATATTTGTCCTTTTGTGACTGGCTTATTTCATTAGCATAACGTCCTCAAGCTTCATCCACGTTGTAGCATAAGACGAGATTTCCTTCTTTAAGGCTGGATAATATTCCATTGTGTGTTTATACCGTATTTTCCTTATTCATTCATCCATCAGTAGACATTTAGGTTGTTTCCACATCTTGGCTATTGGGAACAATGCTGCAGTTAATATGAAAGCGCACATCTCTCTTCAGGATCCTGATTTCTGTTCTTTTGGATAAATACCCAAAGTGAGACTGCTGGACCATATGGTAGTTCTGTTTTTAATTTTTGGGGGAACCTCCATAGTGTTTTCCACAGCAGCTGCCACCATTTTACATTCCCGTTTGACAGCAGTGTACAAGGGTTCTGGTTTGTCCACATTCTCGCCAACACTTGGTGTGTTCTTTTCTTTTTTTTTTTAATAATGGTCATCCTAACAAGTGTGAGGTGACAACTCACGTGGTTTTCATTTGCCTTCCCCTTATGATCAGTGCTGCTGAGCATCTTTTCATGTACCTGTTGATCATTGAATATCTTCTTTGGAGAAATGGCTGTTCAAGTCTTTTGGCCATTCTTTAATCAGGGTATTTGTTTTTTGCTATTGAATTGTTGGAGTTCCTTAGATATTTTGGGTATTAACCCCTTATCAGATATATGGTTTCTTCCATTCCATAGGTTGCCTTTTCACTCTCTTTATTGTTTCCTTTGCTGTGCAAAAGCTTTTTAGTTTGATGTAGTCCCACTTGTCTATTTTTACTTTTGTTGCCAAGAAACCATTCCCAAAACCAGTGTTAAGAAGTGTTATCCCTGTTTTATTCCAGGAGTTTTATGGTTTCAGGTCTTATGTAAGTCTTTGTGTATGGTGTAAAATAAGGGTCCAATTTCATTCTTTTGCATGTGGATATCCAGTTTTCTCAGCACCACTTGTTGAAGAAACAGTCATTTCTCCATTGTGTAGTCTTGGCACCCTTGATGAAGGTCATTTGATTGTATATGCGTGAGTTTATTTCTGGGCTCTCTATTTTCCATTGGTCTATATATCTGTCTTTATGCCAACGCCATACTATTTTCATTACTGTAGCATTTTTGTTTTTTGAGGAAGATTAGCCCTTAGCTAACATCTGCTGCCAATCCTCCTCTTTGCTGAAGAAGACTGGCCCTGAGCTAACATCCGTGCCCATCTTCCTCTACTTTATACGTGCTTTGTACTGTGTTTCGAAGTCAGGAAGTGTGATGCTTTCAGTTTTATTCTTCTTTCTCAAGATTGTTTTGGCTATTTGGGATCGCTTGTGGTTCCATATCAATTTTAGGATTATTTTTCTATTTCTGCAAAAAATGCCATTTGGCTTTTGATAGGGATAGCATTGAATCTGTAGCTCACTTTGGGTAGTACAGAAATTTTGACGATATATTAAGTCTTCTAATCCATGAGCATAAGATGTCTTTCCATTTACTTATTTCTTTAATTTCTTTCGTTAGTGTGTTGTGGTTTTCAGGTACAGATCTTTTGCTTCAACTCATGCCCAGGTTGAGTTTATTCCTAAGTATTTCATTCTTTTTGATGCTGTTGTAAATGAGATTGTTTTCTTGATTTCCTTTTCAGATGCTTGTTGTTAGTGTATAGAAATACACCTGATTTGTATGTTAATTTTGTATTCTGCAACTTTGCTGAATTCATTTATTAGTTCTTTTTTTTTTTTAAGATTTTATTTTTTCTTTTGTCTTCCCAAAACCCCTCCGTACGTAGTTGTATATTTTTTTAATTGTGGGTCCTTGCAGTTGTGGCATGTGGGATGCCACCTCTGCATGACTTGATGAGTGGTGCCATGTCCATGCCCAGGATCCGAACTGGCGAAACCCTGGGCCACCGAAGCAGAGCATGCAAACTTAACCACTCGGCCACGGGGCTGGCCCTATCATTTACTAGTTCTAACAGGTTTTTTTTGTGTGTGGAAACTTTGGAGTTTTCTCCCCACAAGATCATATCATCTGTAAACAGAGGTAATTTTACTTCTTCCTTTCTGATTTGGATGCCTTTTCTTTCTTTTTCTTGTCTAATCCCTCTGGCTGGGACTTCAGTACTATATTGAAGGGAAGTGGTGAGAGTGGTCGTCTTTGCCTTCTTCTGATTTGGAGGAAAAGCTTTCAGTTTTCCACCATTGAGTATGATGTTAGCTGTGGGCTTTTTATGTATGGGCTTTATTATGTTGAGTTAATTTCCTTCTATTCCTAGTTTTTTGAGTGTTTTATCATGAAAGCATGAGTGTTTTATCATGATGTAAGTTCATCAGGGATATTAACCTGTAGTTTTCTTTTCTTGTGGTGTCTTTTTCTGGCTTTGATATCAGGGTAATGCTGATGTTATAAAATGAATTTGGAAATTTTCTCTCTTCTCATTTTGGAAGAATTTAA